GGCAAATCCGAGTCGTCCTGGTGATAGTACTTCTCTTCGAAAAAGTAAAATATAAGAAGTTTAGATTTCCAACGAAGTGCTGCTTACGATTACCTCGAGGCAACCAGCCATTCTCCTTTTCTTAATCTATCAACTATAATTAAAAACAGTGAGATATAAATGGCTAGAAAGTAGTCCCAGATTGCTGTTTACCAAAAATTTACCCCTTGTTATTATGATTCACATTTTTCGCCTAACAAAATTAACACTAATCCCCTTAGCACGGCGGCTCGGAGAACTTTTGTACAGATGTCGGTAAAAATATTTGCTAGCCTCGTCTGGTGGGTGTTACTAAGGTAATAATTGCGACGGCAGTGAAAGAAAGTGTGTGTGGATTATCTTTTCTTTCCTAAACAACAATCCTCAGGTGCGTAATTAACCAAAAAGGTCACTGTCCATAAACACAATAGCTAATAAACTGAGGGCGTTCTTTCCTCAGATTTCGGCCACTTTAAGCAGAACTCGTCTGATTTCTTTGCAGGCCTTAAGGCCTGTCGATGTTCTGAGTGAGGTGGCTAAATTCTTAGGAGCGTTATCTCCTAGTCGCGCCAGCAACCTATTCCAGCCTCTTTTCAAGAGCTCATATGACTAGCAGACTGGTACAGTCAACATCGCTTGACTGTAAAGATTAGAGAGTGGGAACATGACATTTTTGCCGGCCCTAGTGCCTCCAGCACTAACTGTTGTGTCTCTTGTTATGGAAAAGGCATGCACAATCTCCCTTTTTGTGCACGTCCACAGGAAGGGGAAAGAACGAAGAAATCTCAATCACTGCGCACTCTAATTTGAGGCCCGCTAGCTGATACACGCCTGTCAGACCACAGCCTGCCCGTACTCTTCATATTTCCTCTTCTCCTTCTTCCTCGCCTCACAGTCCATTCCCCCCTCCCTGCCAGGTGGTGCTGGGGGAGGGGGGAAGGGGGGAGACCTTTTCTGCAAAGGGGTGCAATCATACAAGTGATGCAAAAACAATGTTTACCCAGAAGTCCGAGACGGTAGTTCAGAGTGACCGCAACGAGGTTGCCGTAGCTGGCGAGGAGGCTGAGGTCGTAGGCGTTGCCTGTACCGTAGGCGAACGATTCGCCGTGTACGAAAATGAGCACCGGTAACCCGTTCGTTGTGTCAGCCTTGTTCTTTGCTAGTGTTCCTGCTGACGTGGCCCCTCCTCCGTCAGTTGGTGAAGTCGGGCCTGAAACCAGGAAGTTCTTATGCAGACAGGTTAAATGGTGCAAAAGGTAGAATTTATGCATATATATGTATATATATATATCCCTTTCGGGATCGGAGTGGCTCATAAGCCAGAGCCAACAATCAGACAGCAAATAATGAGGCCCAATGCCCCGCTACCAGTAACTGAACAATCAGCGGTGGTCTACAGCATACCATGCCAAAACTGTGATGCAAGGTATGTTGGTGAAACGGGCAAACGTCTTGGCACAAGATTGCATGAGCACCAGCTTGCAATCAATCGCAAGGACAAGCTATCTATGGTTTATGACCACGTAAAACAGCAGAACTCCAATTTCGCCTTTGAAAAGGCGAGGGTAATCGGCCGAGCCAGTGATAGGATGGCCAGACTGATGTTCGAATGTTGGTCCTCGAATGGCACAATAAACAGAGCCATAGATCTGCATCCCGCCTATCAGGCGCTACGCGCAAGGCTCGAATCAGTGCGGACAAGGCCATCAAGACAGTCGAGCAAAGTGAAACGTGGCCGACAGCCGATGTCAGCAGAAAGTGGGAGAGAAGTCGGCCGGGGGTCATGTGACCAGCGTGGGACGCCACCTCACCTCGACGCCCATGAGGCTGAGATCAATTCACACGAGTCCCAACAACTGATCTGTCCGTTGAGTGACGGGGGGGGGGAGGCCGACAAGCATGCTGGCTCGCCAACAATTACGACGGCCGCAAAGGGGTCATTAGTGGCAGGAGCCCACCGGCGGTCAATCGTGGAGAGGTCAACGCTAATCGGCGACGAACGGACAGGTCATAGATCGTGCCTCACGCACGGATATAATACCAGGCAGGTATCAAGGCTGACACAATCAAGACCAGCAGGAACAGTCAGCAGATTACTCTGATGATGGAAACGAGAGGGTTCCCGATCGGTGAGCGCCCCTACCATTGTTTATCCCCGATCGAAACTGACAGGACAACGGTCTCGTTGCCCAGTGGTTAGAGGCATGGACTTCTAACTAACAGGTCGCGAGTTCGAGCCTCAGGTTTTTCACACTTCGGGGTTGGGTATGACTGACTGACGACGGCTGATAAGCCAGAAATGGCCACTCCAGTCTCCCTTGTCTTTATCGGTAATATGATACTGTCTATACATATATATGTACTACAAAGCAGGCATCCTAAGAGATATAATTTGAAGATGGCAGGTTCTTTGGGAAACGTAAGACCTTTCTTAAACAATTTTCGAAACTGGTTCTTCAGCCCGTCGTCAGACTACCGGGTAACGTGCACGAACAGTTAACTATTTAAACCGTATCGAACAATTGATTCCGTGGTTGGCTGAAGTCTGCGTCAATGCGCGTTAATGATATTTCGTCATCCCTCGGCGTTGGCTGCGCTCGCTTCCATTTGTCCTTGAGAAATTTGCACTTGGCATCTAAATCGATATGCCGATGGATGTATGTCTCATATGAGTGCATTGCTTTCAGGAATTCATGGTCTCCCCTTATAGGGCAAGGGCCAACAATGCGCGTGTTCTCCCATGCAAATTGGTGTCCGGTGTCCAGTGTGTGCATAGCCACTTGGGATAGATGATCTCGTCTCTTCACCGCTAACTGATGCTCATGTATACGGGTTGAGACAGATTTCCCGGTCTGGGCACAATAGACGGCATCATAACTGGTACATGGGATCTTGTAGACAACACCTTTTCTATCGAGGTAGCCAACCCTGTCCTTGGGGTGTACAGGCTATGTACGCAAGGTGGTCGCAGGTTGGTGTGTTACTTACATCTGGTGTTTTTCAGCTGTCTTTCGACGAGCTCAGATACATTTTTCACGTATGGGAGAGTCCGCCAGATGAATGTTTTTGGTGCATGGGTGACCGTATTATTCGAAATACCTTTGTGTTTAAACTCATGCTTCATGCAATGGTGCAAAAAGTCATGCGGATCCCTTTAAACTTCAGTTTACCGCAAAGAAACATATTCCGAGGTCATCCTACGTTTTGACAGTAACCATCCCATCTCTCACAAGAGGAATACTGTCTACGGCCTACTAAACCGAGCCAAAACACACTGCTCTGATGAAGAAAGTTATCAAGCAGAAATGAAATACCTCTTTAAAATATTTTTCGACAACGGGTACCCGCGCCAATTTGGACGTCATTGCATGAAACATGAGTTTAAACAGAAAGGTATTTCGAGTAATACGGCCACCCATGCACCAAAAAACATTCATCTGGCGGACTCTCCCATACGGGAAAAATGTATCTGAGCTCGTCGAAAGACAGCTGAAAAAGCATCAGATACAAGTGGCATACCAACCTGCAACCGCCTTGCGTAAGCAGCCTGTACACCCCAAGGACAGTGCTGGCTATCTCGATAGAAAAAGTGTTGTGTACAAGATCCCATGTACCAGCTATGATGCCGTCTATTGTGGCCAGACCGGGGAATCGGTCTCACCCCGTATACATGAGCACCAGTTAGCGGTGAAGAGACGAGATCATCTATCCCAAGTTGTCTCGCATCTAGTCGTCCTGACTTAGTTTTGCCACCGGGCCCAGGCTGCTGGATGATGAGAGAGTGAGTACGACAGCCCCTCACGGACAGCGCGGAGTCCGCGCATTCCATGACAACTATCACACAGGGGGTGTGGTGGCACGCCTAGGCTCCGACACACATTATATCAGCCACTTGCACCCAATCCCAGCATCTGATGACCGACCAGCTCGGAAAGCGGATTGGTGCGTGGGAGGGGTAAGGGTGAGATCGACTACGGAGAAACTTCAGCGTATAAGTAAATAAGAAGCGTCGAGAACCGGAGCACTTTGTTTATTGTCCTGAGCTCTCAGACTCGTGCAGGAGTCCATCGTCAGAGTAAGTGGCAGAAACAGGACAAGCGGCAGTTATAAGGCACGTAGGCCAATCACTGACCGACGGCGCAAGACTGGAGGTGACTACGAAGGGCTCTGTACGCCGGCGCCAGATCGATAAATCGATTGACCGAGTTCTCATCCGAGGCCCAGGCTTCAATCAACCCTTGGCCTTTTTTGTTTCCGGCGTGGGCAACTATTTTGGTAGCTGCGAAGTCAAACTCGTGACCCATTTCGTAGGTGTGGGCGGCCACTTGTGATAATGCGTCACCTCGCCGCACAGCCAGCTTATGTTCATGTATGCGCGATCCGAGCATGCGTCTAGTCTGTCCTGCGTAATTAAAAGGACAATTTTGACACGGAATGCGATACACTACTCCAGATTGCTCTTTAGGTTTTAACCGGTCTTTGATCTTCATGACCCTGTTGCGCATGGTGGCTCTGGGACGGTGTGCGATTCCCACCCCTAGCTCCGCAGCAATGCGCTCGGTCGCTTCTGAAACACCCTTGATGTATGGCAGAGAATGCCATATCGTCGGTGGCGTTGATGTCTGAGTTCTCTGGTGGCGACCGCGTAGGCAGCGACTTATGAATGCCCTCGGATAGCCATTTTGCACAAACTGGTCGCGGAGATAACGGGCCTCACGCGCTCTATCTTCCAGTGTGCTGCAATTACTTTGGATCCGTTTGAAAAGCGTCTTCACACAGCTTCGTTTGTGAGCCACCGTATGTTTGCTGGGAAAACTGAGAAGCTGTGTGGTGTTCGTTGCCTTCCTATAAACCGTCGTTTCAAGTTCACCGTTAAGGTTTCGTCTGACGAGCACATCCAGGAAGGGCAACTGCTGCTCCTGTTCTTCTTCTCTCGTTAATTTTATATCCGGGAAGACTGCGTTGAGCAGGCTGTGAAAATGTTACAGCATGTCCTTCTTTACGATGACGAACGTGTCGTCAACGTAACTTCGCCAAAACACCGGTTCATGTTGGAGGAAGGCAATCTTTTCCAACTCCTGTAGGACCAGTTCTGTCACTAAATGGGAGACCGGTGAGCCCATTGGGGTTCCCTTGATTTGTTCATAGGTCTCTCCCGCAAAAGTGAAGAAAGTTTGTTGGCAGAATTCAAACAGCCTCATGAGGTGTTCAATTTTGAGGGCATTCTGAGTGTCATCGTACGCCTCTTCAAGTCTCTTGCACAAGACTTCGCGGGCCACGTTTGGTGGGATAGATTTGAATAACGACGTCACATCGAAGGAGACCATGATTTCGTCCGATTGAATTCTCCGACCTCGGAGGTCTATGAGGAATTGAGTGGCTGATCGAACTGAGGTAGTCGAATTGCCTTGGAGGAACTTCAGTTTTGAGTACATCCACTTTGCCAAATTGTAGGTGGGGCTGCTTTTTAGGGCAACGATTGGCCGAAGTGGGACATTTGCTTTATGGATTTTTGGCAGACCCTAGAATCGGGCTAGAGCGGTGTCAGTTTCCCTCATTTGGTGCCATTCATTCTCCGTGATCACATTTTTATGTCGGTATTCTCCAAGCAGTTTACTCAGCCGATCTGCCACTGCTTTGGCTTGTGACTTCTGTGCTGGTCTGTAAAATTCTCTGCAGAACAAGTAGCAAGTCCTAAGCCCAGCAATAGAGGTGGCGTTGCAACTCTTAACAAAAAGTCCTAATTATAGGTGCTTTGCCAGATTTTGAATTATTTCATCTTGACCCAACTGTGAAAACCTCGGCGACCCCGGTGGGATTCGAACCCTCGATAGCAGGGGGATGGTTTTTGCACAGCCAACGCCTTAGCCACCTGACCCGCGGGGAGGCTTGAGTCTTACCGCATTTGGGTCAAATTACCCAACCAGCCTACTGCAACGTTTGGAATCCATCAAGCGTGATACAATAAACTGACTGTCCAGGCAGGATTTCCTGAGTAATTATTATAGAATCCAAGAGATGAATACGAGGCCCACTTAGTTTACAATGCGTTTTGGCAAATTTTGAATAATTTATACTGACTCAACTGTGGAAACTCGGCGGTTTGAGTGGGATTCCATACGATGCAGCAGGCTGGGTGGGTAACTTGGCTCAAATAAGATTAAATTCATGGCTCCCGGTGCAGCCTCGTAGCTCAGGGGGCTAGATCGTTGGCTGTACTCAAACCTTCGCCTTGCTGTCACAAGTTCGAATCCCACCGAGGTCACCGAGTTTTTCACTATTGGTTCAAGATGAATTAATTCAAAATCTGGAAAAGCATCTATAATTAGGACTTTTTGTCAAGAGTTGCAACGCCGCCTCTATTGCTGGGCTTAGGACTTGCTACTTGCTCTGTAGTTTCTACGTCCACATGTGACCGCTGGGAAGTCGGAGCCCTTCTGTGTTGATGTGGAATGTCAACCAGTTTAGCAATTATTTGGAATTACTGGTATCTATCCCCTCCACCTACCAGAATGTTACTTGTTGTGCCGGGTGGAAAAGGTGGGCGGTAACGCTGGCTTGTGGCATACGCGGGGATAGCAGTGGTAAGCGCCTAGGTACGCAGATATTACTTTTTAACGGACCAGTAGTGAATGACAGGAGGGGTGATTCACCGTGACAGCAGATATCACCAAGATATTTGGTGGCGATAGTTTACCAATTGGATCCTTACCTGAACCTTGATTCCAGATCCTGCGATTGACCATTAAAGCTCTCAAAATCCGCCTCAGTTTAGACTTGACAAAACCTTTTGTTTGGAACAAGAAACTCCGGTCTGACGACAGTGCCTCCGATCGTGAACTCACCCTGAGTGAGATCAGACATCCTACGCACTGATTTTTTTCAATTTAGATAAAAAGTCGCTTGCGGTCCTCACCTTTGAGAGCTAACTTCTTTTGCGTTTAAAGGCCTACGTGATTTGTTTTTGCATGCGCCCCGCCTGCCCCGTGTATTTCAGTCGATTAGGGAAGGTTATATTGTCAAGAATATGTTTAGTCTGTGCCCAGCTTAACATAACAAGACAACCTTTACTTGTGACTGCGTCATGCCGCAACGCGTCTACTTGCGTAATTCTGCAGCTAACATATGAAAATCCTTCTGACAGACTTTGCGACATCCGGGTGGAGAAAGTAATTTCAAAAATATCCAATGCCTCGATAAAATGTCTGCAAAGACTTTAACGGCTTATAGCTTAAATAGGGATACTTCCGTCCGTCCATTATTTTTTGATGCGGTGTCATTAGTGAAGTTAAATTCCAAAATTATTTGGTCCGTACCATCGATGAAAATGATCTGGTCTGAAAGTCGGACTACCGCGAAGGGTACCCTGTGGGATGCGTAGAGTCCTGAAGCTGCTTTTGAATTCAGTAGTTCAGTTAACCGTCACCTTTGCACTTATCGAGGGTCTAGCAATCTTTGTGTCGTAATGATACCTCATCAATTCTGTTGATCGGAGGCAGCTAGTCTTAGGGGGTAAGATGGTCTCTTGTAAACAGTTGTAACAACTTGCCAGTTCGACTTACCTCTCATCAGGTTATGTCCCCGTTTCCCTTCTTTCCACTTGTTTCCCTAGATATTCTTATTTATATTTTTCCTCTCCATGTAAGGCACTGGAATAGGAAGACCTACGTGTCACGTTAAATTCTAGAAGGTGTACCGATTCCTACTTCCTGCCTCTAGAACCAACGCTAATCCTTTTCTTACCAATAGCACCACGGAACTGCCTCCTTCCGTTGTGCCTTGAAGGTCTCTCAAGCCCATCTGTATCATGTGAGGTTCCTATTCTCGTGTCCTGCCCACCTTTGCGTTTATCTTTTTAATCCCAATGACATGCGCGATCTGCTACAAGCATTATGCGGGCCCAACTTTCCTAACTACGAAGGCTTCCTATGCATCCAGACCCGCGTGTTGGACATTGACGCCCAAGCTGACGCCTTTGTTGGAAGGTATTTTCCAGAATGACTGACATCATTGATTTCTGCCTTTGATCGTATTCTCACCTCCTATAACGTTATTTGATTATATGCACCAAAACATATCAGTCTGCCTGAACAGGCTAAAAGTAAACCTACTCATTTATACAACCCAACGGCTATGACAGTATGTGGTCTTTTCTCCGTTAGAGAGCTTAGACAGTAAGTCCCTGATAACAGGGCTGGCTTGCGTTGTTGGAAGCTAATTGTATTTACGACGGAGGGTGTGTAGAACAGTCTAATTGGTGCCTCGAGGGAATTGGCTGCGTCTCCTTGGTTTGAGAAGCGATCAAGCAGAAGCTACCCCATGTTCAGCTGATAAGGACATAAATAGCAACTGTCAGCACCATCCACTCTCCGGCAACCAATCTACGCTTGGGTACGGACCATGTTCACCGTTCATGCGGTTGCAGGTGCTTTCCACGGGTATGAATGGCTGAAGAATTCGCGAATTGGGCGGGAACAGCTGCAGCCTCAATTTCCACCCTCTTTCCCATATGGTATCTAATAGAATTTGCATTTAAGCACACATAAAGTCAGGACTTCGAAGGTCAGTTAGTCTGTTATTACCGACAAAAACAAGGGAGACTGGAATAGCCACTTCCCGATCGAAACCGACAGGGCAACGGGCTCGTTGCTCAGTGGTTAGAGACGTAGACTTCTAACTAGCAGGTGGCGAGTTCGAGCCTCGGGTCTTCCACACCTCGGGGTTGGGCATAACTGGCTGAAGACGACTAATAAGCCAGAAATGGCCACTCAGTCTCCCTTGTCTTTGTCGGTAATATCATTCTATCTATATCATGCGCCGCCGTTCGGTAGCTGGTTGGGCATGAGAGAGAGAGCCCGTAAGGCACACGAAACGAGTGAGTTCCGTAAGAACGATCGGCGAGCGCCCCCTACCATTGTCAGTTATAGTTCCCTGTCACTTCGCCAACTGACAGTAGAAACAGTCTGTGACTTGGAAAAACGAAATCTACACTTACTCCGCTGTAGAACAATCGAAAAACAAAGGAAATTCTGAGATTCCTCCTGCTATCCTACCGGAAAAAAATAAGTTTTATTTTCAGCAAATGCATTTTAAGCATACAGTAGATGTGCTAAGTCATGAAACGTTAACAGAAATTCTGAAATGCGTTTTCGACTCGAAATGATAAGTTAAGTAGGGTTATAATATTAACCGATGTGCAGCATAATCTTATAGTAATTTAGTTACTTCAGAATGCCAGTTTTTGACTGAAATTCTTCCCGGCGTATGCAACAATCACACTCGGTAAAAGTGGCCACTCATTTGGCATGAATTTTTCCGTTTGATTTTCGACGCCCTTAAAAATTTAAATATAATTCATACACCACATGCACGAAAATATTTATTCCTCTACTTTTTGGTGGGAAATTACGTTTTTATAATTTTATACCTAAAGGGAAAGTATAATTTCATTTAAAAAACTTTTCCAATCCGTGAATAACCTTGAACCCGAACTGCCGTTACACTTAACTTCAGGGTTCCCAAACTACAAGCTGTACATTTTCTGTGTACGAAAAATCATACACTTTTACACGGTTCTAAGAGGAAACTATGTGGTGTTTATGAGATACAGGAACGGATTTGGGCCATACTGTAAATTTTACAAGCAACATTATAAATGCAGAGACACGAGGTTTTATGGACAGGCATTCCGTGGTCTTAGAAAATCTCGTAACTAGAAACTTCGACAAAATTGAATTTCACCCTTCTTTCAAATATAAAGTATAAAGAGGACATAGTTCTTCACCAAATTAGGATAAAAATAAATATTTTATGCATGTTTGCTATGAGATGTATTTGAATTTATAAGGGCATCGAAAATCAGTGAGAAGAATTTATGCTACTTAAATAGTCATTTTTACATAGTATAGTTTTTGCCGGCGGCTGGGAAAGAAGTTCTTTTAAAAGTCAACATCCTATAGTAACTGAATTATTGTAGGATTAATCTGCATGGTGGTTAATATTACAACCCTATTTAAATAATCCTTTCGAGTCGAAAAGGTACTTTAGAATTTCGGTTAACACACCATGAGTTAGCACATCTACTGTAAGTTAACCGTCAGCTGTCCGGATTTGTTAGGGGGAATAACTTCTCCTACTCCTTACCTCCTTATTTACTATTTACGTTCCTTGCTCTCCATGTTAATGCCATTTTTCATTTTTTTTCTTGTCGCGCAGGTCATGGTAAACCTTCACACTGCCTTGAACTGTCCTTAAGCTCGTTTCGACTCCTTGGGCAGATCGGCTGTCGGGAGAGGTGGTTTCGACTACTTGATCTCTCATCAAAGCTCCCAGACCGAACTCTCCGCACACAAACGGCGACCCCACCCCCACGCATCAGCAAACAACCTACTCAGCGATTATTGGTCATTTGGAGGTTTGCGTGTCAAAACTCATTATGAGGGGAATGGAGAACATTACAATGTCCTTTGGTCAAACACCTCGGAACATAAACGACCTCCATCCCGAAAAGGTTGGAAGTTCACTAATCCTGCAGCTTCTAACTATGAAGTGTCTTACATCGGGCAGAAAGTCGTGTGTATACAGTGGTCCGTTATGGCATGGAGAATTCCTCTGCAAATCGACCACGACATATAAACGTGTTGTGGCCGTGTGTGAGATGTTTATATAAACTGTAAACAGGAGAGGGGCGTCATGTGTGTGTACTATAATATAAATGAAAATTCGAGATCTCAATACATGTTTTTATGTTCCAAGTGAATCCATCGATCGGGTTACGGAATGAGCATGCCCCGTAACACGATCGGGTAACTCAGAACAACCTAAAGCAAATGACAGGACAACACGTCCATGGCTCAGTTGATAGAACGCTGGCTTTAAAAAGGCAGGATCACCAAAAAACGCGGGTACGAAGCCCATGCGCCGCAAAACACAGGTTTGGGTAAGACTATCTGATGACGGCCAAAATGCCTGAAATGCCCATTCGGGTCTCCCATTGCAGTGTTAGAACTTTCCCCGACATGTATATTTGATTACGGAATTTGCTTTTCTCGTTGTGCCTTGGGGTCCAATCGAAGGACCTCGCAGGCAGTCGGACACTGTTCAGTAGTATATGCAGATAAGGAGTTACCGAAAATGACAAGGGAGACCACATTGGCTATCTCCGGCTTAGTGACCGTTGTCAACAAGTCTTACCCAACTTCATGCTTAAATTGCCTGGGATTTGAAACAAGAATTCCGCATAGATATCTAGACTATATTTGACCGCCTGCGAGCCGTCGAATAACCCCAAAAAAACGGGATGATCACGTCCTGTGCTCCGATTGGTGGGCGTCTCTCTACCCTTGTTTATATTCCCGACCACAACCAACAGGACAACGGACCCGTGTCTCCGTGTCGAATTGTTCGACTAATTAACGCTCACTGAGTAAAGAACCTGGCTTCGGATCTCATGTCATTCAGATCGGGCGTTGGGTATGGTTGGTAGACGACGGCGAGGATGATGGTGATGATGACCAAGCCGGAAATTGCGATCCCGGTCTCCCTTGATTTTGCCGGTACTCCAATATTAACGTATATATAAGTATATATCAGAAAAACAAAGGCGTACTTATCTAGGTCCTCCAGCAGGATTTGACTTCTTTGTGCAACGGCCAGACAGCGCCCATGAGTACAAATCCACAGATTGCACTGCTTCACAAATGAATCACTTAACTGCCCAGAAGGTTCTATCGTGTGTATTTAGGGCAGTGACTATCAGGAAAAAAACACTTTGATCATTGGAAGAGAATATGCGCATCCCAGATTCTTGTTTGAAAGAAGACGAAGGCACGATCAATGGGACGGTAGATTTATTGGATTTAACTTTAGAACTCGAAATGGAGTTCATCATCAGGGACTGCTAGAGTGCAACAACCTGTGAAAACATTTATATCGTTGTGTCGTGTGTGGGGTGACTACGTCCGTGGCTAGGTCTGGTTTGTGCCGCCTGATCCACAGTGGTTCCCCGGCGTGGTGACGCCGTTTGTGTTTCGCGGTGATGTAAACCACGGACGTAGTCCCCCCTCCCCACACACACACGACACAACGATATAAATGTTTTCGCAGGTTGCTGTACTCTAGCAGTCCCTGATGATGAACTCCAGTTCGAGTTCGAAAACTAAGGCCAATAAATCTACCGTCCCTGTGATCGTGCCTTCGTCTTCTTTTAAACCTTGATCAATGTTATTGGAATTTTGTTTGTAAATTTCGTCTCGTCAGCCTGCTGAAAGTCACTGGATAGTATTTTCGTGCGTAGGCGTGCTCATTCCTACCTCAGTCATTTTATTCGTCTTTTCGTTTGAATTCGCTGCTCTCCGCCTAATTTAAACTCAACCTAATCACCCACTTAGCCTGCTCGTAGTCAAGAGGGCTTGATGAGGGTTTCACCATTTCACTATGATACAACGGTTCTCCAATTAAACCTATTCAGCTGTTTTCTACAAGCTATTCTCTAAATTTTCTTTCTTCAGATTAATTGATGGATAGCTAATCTAACATCAGTAAACAAGCAGAAAAAAATTCAGGAAGAATTTCTCCTTTTCAGAAAGAACACTTTTCGGTGACCGTAGACGTAAAAAGCGTTGCTGATTCACGCAAGAAACTAGAACCTGATAGAAGCGAACAGGTGAGTTCCAGGTAGCAGTTCAGAAGACGAATATGCGATAACTGGAACAGAACAAGGTAGTAATATGAAATAATGAACATTGGGAAAACGAAATTTTCGAGTTCATCTAATGTAAAAATCACTCTCGCGTCCTGACGCAGTTTTGTCAGGGAGTTTCGAAGGCATAGGGTTTCATATGGGCACATTTAGATGGTCTCGGGTGGGGGGGGGGTTCTTATAGATGACAGTTGTCCTTCCAGCTAGCCGTTTAACCTTAGAATCTTCAGAAATTTCATCAAAGTGAATGCACGCTCCTGAAGATATCAAAGCACGAGTTTGTAAATGAAATGTGGCTGGTGTAGCATTTCAGACATTTGCAGATGTCTCTGATGATGGATTCGATTGAGAATCTGAAACGTCAGGCCAATAGATTTCCTGTTCCAGTGATCGCATCTTCGTCTTCTAAATTGGAACCTCTTTTACGAGGGTTTGCAACCTGGAGGTGCGATGTAGTTGTGCCAAGTGATGAATGGAAATGACGTTTAAACATCTTCAGTGTGTCATGAGTTTCTGCAGTGCAGTCAAAAGCTGTTACGTTCAAGTTGGTGTCATGTCTTGAAAGAATTTCAAAATTTTAATGAATACTAGCAGCAATCTCTAAACTTTCTTGAAGTGCTGTGCATAGAATTCTTACCAAACTTTGGTTAGTTAAGTCTAGTAAAACTACCTGCAGTTATTTTCCCCAAAACCGCAAGAACAGGACGGTTCTGTGTGAGGTCTTCCGCTGATAGCAAGCAGGGATCATCAGCAAACCAACTGTTCCAACCAAGTTCTCTTAAAGGAGAGATTGTTGACCGTAATGACATAACATTGTATGGCACTGCTCATTCAACGGATATAAAACAACTCTACCCCTTGCATACATCAATCTATTCCTCCAGAGTAACGCAGTCAAGAATAACAGACGTGGTATTTTGCCAGAAACCAAAATTACAGACGAACCGATAGTTGCTTCTAGCATACCGGGCGATGGGATGAAATTCCTCCCAAGCAGAACTGCGAACAACCTGCACATGGTAACTAGAAGTCAGGGTAGCAACTGATCATCCTATCTCCTGTCTGATTAATTCGGACCGTCCGGCATGGTTCTGAAATGCTACACCATCCACATTTCATTTGCGACCTCATGCTTTGATATCTTCAAGAGAGCGCATTCACTTTGATAGAATTTCTGAAGATTCTAAGGTTAAACGGCTAGCTGGAAGGGCAACTGTCATCCATAAGAACCCCCCCCCCCTACCCGAGACCGTTTAAATGTGCCCATATGAAACCCTATGCGTTCGAAACTCCCTGACAAAACTGCGTCAGGACGTGAGAGTGATTTTTAAATTAGACGAACTTAAAAAATTTCGTTCTCCCAATGTTCATTATTTCATATTAGTACAATTAACACAGTTTCCACTTGGGCAGAAAATCGGCAAGTTTGTTCTACTGTCGTACTGGACGTAGGTCGCCACTACCTGGACAGGACATGCACAGCAGCCTCCCAGCTCCCTTTCCCTCTCTCTGGACTGTCATAACTGCCTAGGACTGAGCTAAATTTGTGCGACTCGAAATAAGATTCGATGCGAAAGCAGGTCGAACTGGCTGACTTTGGGGCTAGATCGCAGTTGGTAGCCAGGCTCCGTATTACAGGCGGCTTGGGGTTTGTTTCCTGGGGCTATTTTGTGGGGTTACATAATAACATCTGACCCATTTGGCTTCAGTTTTACGTTTGAGGTTAGGAGTAGTGTACCGGTTAATGGCTTCCGATTTTCGAGTTGGCGTTGTACCTTTAGGCTTAGGTTTTCGGGTCACGGTTAGGGTTTGAGCGTACGATAAGGTTTCAGTATTACGGTTAGGTTTTCCAGTTACGGCCATGTCCAAGGGCTACGGTCGCGTTTACGATTTCGGTTAGAGTTAGGATTAGGGTTTCCCTTAAGGTTAACGGTAAACGTTTAAGGTTGAGGTTGGGGTTAGGGTTAGGGCTAAGGTTAGGATTAGGGTTAAGGTTAAGGTCGCCGTCCGCTTCCCCGTTCCTGGCTTCCAACTGCGATCTAACCGACTTTGGTAATAAGAAACTTTAAATGGTAGAAAGATTAGGGAAAGTGTCTGGAAAGAAACTCTCGTGCATGAATTTGAGTCAGTAAATTATCTCACTGCCTTAGACCAATATTGACGCAAGTCACCTGGTTTTAGTGTGCCAGAAAACGCCTGTGAAAAATGAATATAACCTCAATTAGGGGTTCCACCCACCCAACCACGGCCCTCGTTGCTCATTTTTCCCTTCTCGTTTGACTGGCGTAAATAGCCTCCTGATATTGATTTCGAACGAGGGAACATAAGTCCCCTTACCAGGCAAACATGCTTTCACCTAACTAACAGTTTACTTGTACTCTCGAAATCAGGCAGGCATCTTGGCGTGGTAACACGCGAGAAATGCACTTGGGTAGTGTATGCCTTGAATACGGCGTCCGCTTGCGTTCTGTCCGGCAATCCGGCCATGCAGGCGAACTCCCCTCTCACACATAATCTCATGGTTTATTTTTTAGGCATCTCAGTTGGCACCCCAAAAAATCAAGCCTGCATAGTAACGTCAACGCTTCCTGGTTTAGTTAGTAGAAAATTATTCGAAATCGAAATTTATTTCATCTCCCTCGGCAAGCTCCGAGCGGAAACTGTTTAGCACGGCCGTGAGATTTCTGTGCGCGCAGTAACTGCATTTCTATAGATTCCTTTCTCATTTCTTTTTTGGCGTGCAAGTACGACTGCTCATATGATGGCTGCCATTTTCTCGCGATGAGAATCTCCGCACGCCAGCTATTTATCGGGCAACAATGATAAGCAACCTTAACTGCCCTACAAAGGAGCCAAATGAAGCTGCTTTTTTCTTCTCTATTCGGCAACCCGACTCACCCCTCTGCGGAGTGTAGACGTTCAGCGTGAGACAGTCTTCCGACTGATTACTCAGATAGGGCAGCAGGCGCGCAAGTCTGGCCTTCAGTCTCGGATTAGCAGACTCCGCGTCCACCTCAGGAATTGGTTGCGGACAGACGGGCGGAGGAGTGGTCTTGTGCAAATGGCCCTCCTGCGGCGTTTCGTAGATGAAGGCGGCAACAGAGTGCATGAACCGGCGTTTCGCCGGGGGCCGAAGCGGGTTCGTTTTCCGGTCTGTTCTAGAACTGTGGGCAGGCGTACCCCGTTGAGCCTCGGCAGAAGAAGCATCCGTCGTGGGTCCGCTGCCGCCCAGAGATGCGAACCGGATTCCGTAGAGGGCGTGAACGGAGGGCAGTCGGGGGTCTGAAAAGCGTATTTCCACCCCGGAGGCCGAGACCCTGCCGCCCATATCGAATCGTTTGGTGGAGACCAACCGGGTTGTTTTGATTGGTTCTCCATCCTCAGTCAGGGACCAGGCGACCACCTGCTGCACAGTTAAAAGCCTTAGAAGCTGAAGAAACAAAAGAAGCATATAGGGCCTCTGAAGTTGTGTGCAGATTTAAAGAGAAATATTCGCGAGCAAACAAGATGCGATGTTCTCGAGCTCTGAAATCGTACACCTGAGGCGACGATACCATTGGACAAACTGTCCAGGTAAGCAGCAGGATCCTGATTGGTCGGTCACCTGCCAATTATGTTTCTCCAACGTGCGTGAGTAGATATCAAAGGCCTAAACAGTAAATGCATAGCTGTAGAGATGTAATCACTCAGAAGTCCAATTTCCACGTCTGGCATGTTAGAGTGCACTTAAAACACTCCCGCACATCGATGTTAATGAGCAGCAGCGTCAGAATACGCCTAAATCTGGGAATTTTTTCGATACAGTTGGCAGATGAAGGCGTGAATGAGGCTATCGTCACGCTAATAATATTGTTTGTATATTCATATTTCATGGCAGCGCATATCCACCGGTGTTCAAATATTTTCAAAGTGCTTCAAGACGCTCACATTTCCCAAAGGGAGTTATAAGATTTTGTTCGTTTATAAAACGTAGCTGTCATTCAAAAAATCATTTTGCTCGACCTTCCAGCTTTTATAAACATGCCCTACTCCGAATGATTACTGAGTTATAAAAAGCTCAGCGGTCCCAGCAGGAGTCAAAACCGCGAAGACTAGGTTAAGGTTTTAGTATAGCCAACCTGATAACTGCCCGATCTACGGAAACCTGACCGCTGACTGCAAAGTTCTCATACCTAGGCTTAGCTGCCCGCCAAACCCACAGCAATACGTAGAATCCACCGACAACGATCAAAGCATATTTTCTTCAGTAATCCATTTGAAATCCACCAGAAAATTGCCAGAAAATTTGAATTAGCATGTAATTTAGTATATCCGAATAATTGGAGAGACTCTCTGACTGCACAATCCAAAGTTAAAGATCGCCTTGACCGTCGGGGGTTTTCCAACTGGGTGACAATCTGAATTTTTCATTATATCTGCCAGATCACCTATTCCCACAGCAGTTCATAGAGCGCATCATTAGCAGTAACCGTGTTTACTGGAAGAGCTCTTAGAGGTATTAAATAATGTTCATCGGCAACGCTATGGTGAAAGACACTACTCAACTGTCTTTAAACTTTGAATCGTGTCATATGGGATTTTATCTTTGCATCCACATGCAAGCCATTGCAGGCATTAAACTGCCAACGGCACTTACTTTCCTTGACCTCAAATCACTACTCAAACTGGGTCCTTTTCCCTACCGTTGCCATGCCATCTAATCGCGAATGGTCGAAATTGGACAAAAATATCTGTTCCATTAAACATGCATGGCGTTTCAGCTATGTACAGGTTTCTGATTAATTTTTCTTATACCTTTTTAATGAAGTTGAAGCAACAACTTGAACATACTTCGGTCAAGCAAACTGCATCCTTACAGACTGTCTTCTTCATTAACCTATCAGGCAAGGGTGGACTGAGAACTTGGTCTTGCATTGGTTCATTGAGCCGCAACATTCGTTTTCAAACTACTGACAAAAACCTTTCGGTGGAAGATAGGGTAATCAAAAATCGATAAACTTTGCGATACGATGACACGCCAGCTGAGAATCCCATAAGCCACTTTTCAGTCATTTATCTTCTTGGTATTGTGTAAAAGATGGAAGGTAGGAATTTTTGACATATTAGTCAGTAGCAAACACCCTAAATGTCTAAAAGCAAGCTTGCGAACTTCTACAGGCATAGTAAATTGCGATATTTTAAACCTCTCGTACAAGGCAAAAGCCGACTTTCAAAAAATAAGTTGAAAGAAAGTTGCGATCGTTGAAATAGCAATTTAACTCATATGAGGTGTCGGGTTCTCACTCGAACGTACCATCATAGACGACAGCAGATAGGCATGTTGGACTCACAAGGAGTAACGTGGGCAGAATAGCATTGCCGACAAAGATAAAGGGGACTGGAATGGCCATTTCTGACTTGTTAGCCATCGTCAGCCAGCCACGCCCGACCCCGAGGCGTGGAACACCTGGGGCTCGAACTTGCGACCTGTTAGTTAGAAGCCCAACGCATCTAACCACATAGCTACGGGCTCGTTATCCTGTCCGTTGCGATCGCATCTCAAGGCACAACGGGGCGGATGAGCCTCGTAACGCAATCGGTGCGCGCCTTTCTACCATTTTTAATACACCCCATCGAAACCGACAGGACAGCAAACCCGTGGTTCAATGGTAAGGGCGTTGGACTTCTAACGAACGGGTCGAATGTTCGAGCCTGGGGTACTGCTTATCTCGGGGTTGGTCATGAGTGGCTGATGACGGCTAGTAAGTTAGAAATGGCCATTCCAATCTCCCATGTCTTTTTTCGTTATTTATAGGTATTTTGGCAGATTTTGAATAATTCATATTGATCCAACTGTGAAAAACTCGGCGCCTTGGTGGGATTCGAACCCACGCAGTAAGGAGAAGGCTTTAGTACAGCCTTCACTGGCTTTACTGCGTATCGCTGAAAAAGCAAGTTACCACAAAGCATTTTTGTATGGGAGTATATGCCCCTACTCGCAATAGGATACATTGAAGATGGGCTGGATCCAAACGAGGGCCAACTTCGCTCACGGCACGCGTTGATCAGACAGCGCGAAGTATGCCCTAGCCCGCAACTACTGTCATGCATGGAAGGGGTGTGGTGGTCTGTCGAGAAGTACAGTTAGTGACTTAACTCATGAACTGTGTCGAAATTTACGAATAATTGTCAATCACTCGCAAACCGACACCATTTCATGAGTCCAATGTCCATGTTAATTAACAATAAGTTTAAAAGAGTTAAAAATATAAAAGAAATATTAAAGGCAGTGTTGCCTTGTTTAGAAATTTTGATTTATTTTGAAAAGCGCAATGTCCCGAAAACGTCGGAAATAACTCTAAGTTAGTAAACTTCGGTTTAAAGTGTAGAGAATATATTCTCATACCAAAATCGTAGTAAATATGAAAGTAGAGATAAAATAACGTCTAATAATAGTGTTTCAGTGAAGTTTACATCTAGATATCGTTTAAAAATTAGTGATTTCATATAGGACGGTTCGTAAATTGCCTACATTCTGAGTGTAGATTCCAAAACAGTTTTCCAGGGATTCGCGTTTTCCTTGACTCGTTTGAGTTAAATGAGATGGGTTTCAACAAGAGAAACTGGATTTTGCTTCATTTCACCGATGGGGACGACGCAGGAACAAAAGATTTCATAAGGTGACATGCTATGAGGCCGGTCGGTGCCCAATAAATTTAAATAGAACTGACAGGCCTCATCGCAAACAGACCATTTTGTGTTTATAGAGAGGAATTTTCTTTCGTTAAATTAATATACACCTTTCGTTCGTTTTGGATTACGTTGAGTTTCAGATCGACCTCGAAATGTCGCTGAAGACTTCAAACGGCAAAACAATGTCAGCCTATTTAAACGAACGGATACCAATTTGCGTTATTACTGCACTTTAGGACACCAAATCGCACAGCTCTGCTAATTTGACATTTAGGAAGTGATAAAACCTCTGGTTTTCTTAAAATAACCTTTGTTTTAGCAGGTTGATTACCACGTTGACATCGGACATAAAATAAATTTTCAAGTTCGCCTAATCTGTTTATTAGAACTCTCGCGGGTAAATTGCTATCCTTTCAATGAAAAAGTCGCTCAGATGCGTAACCGGAGCGTAGGACATGTATTAGCATAGGAAATTGCTCAAATATATTCCGACGTCCCTTTTCGCTAACATTTACTAGTGGCTTACTTGATACAATCGCGTAAACGTAATTTCTTCACAAGAAAAGGATATTTCATCAAAGAATGTGGATAAGCGAACAAAATGCGCAGACGTCCAGAAATTCTCGCATTTGTTTCCGTTATCAGATTTCATGTGATAGGCCACGTACTATAGGCCTTCACGCCACCTCATTCAATGCACCCAATCCAAACACCAGATTATTGACAGATTCGGATAATCCACTGGTGTACGGGAAAGGGGATAGATAGTGAGGCCGGCATTGGAGACCTCAACCCCACGGCACATCAGCACATCCCTCACTTTAATAAATCTGACAGGCTTTGGACCAATCACACTTCGCTAAAAGTTGTTGTTGATAGGACTGCCAACGAATGGTATAACTCGATCCTCGCGGTCCGCACTGTGTGTGAGAGTGCCCCCTAAACGGGCCACGTTGTAGATAAGCTGGACTAACAGGAGGGGCCATATCGGACTCTGCCAGGCGTTATCGGATTTGCGCACCGTAACAAATACCAACATGTAGGGGTGCGGTGTCAGACCCCGCTGCCGGGAGACGTCGTGCACGCTGGGACCCCTGCTGTCCCTCATTATTGTTGTGAGTCCAAAACCTGATCATTTTCTGTGTGAACCAGGGGGTCTGAAGTGGAGCGCCAAGATACAGGCTCGACCGGATCATCCACTTAGGCCATCCCTCATTTCCGGTCTTCTTGACTCTGTCTTAACACCGGATCCAGGTGGGGGAGGCGGAGAGAGTGCGGTTAGTACTGTTCAAGTCTTCTATTACTATGAACTAATTCACGCGCAAGTCACCGTGCCTGCTCCACTTTGTTGTGGAGTACACAATGGACATCGTCGGCAACGACGGTCGAACTGTCGTGTCTGGGCCGAGCCAAACCTAATGGCCCCTTTTTAAGTAGCCTCTATAGCATTCTCACGCATGTGAGGTCCGAGTTGCCCTTCTTTCTGTACATTGTATGAGTACTAGGCTGCATGTGTGTGCCGCGCGTAGACAGGTTGCTTGACTTTGTCATGCATTGCACATTGCCACCGAGGAGTGATTGCGGAGGATACTGCGCAGGATAGCATTGCCGACAAACACAAGAGAGGCTGAAGAAGAAGAGTCGAGCACCGGAACAATTCGTTTATTATCCTGAGCTTTCAGACTCGTACAGGAGTCCATCGTCAGAGGTAGTGGCAGAAACAGGACAAGCGGCAGTTATAAGGCACGTAGACCCAATCATCGACCGACGTCGCACGACTGGAGGTGACTACGAAGGGCTCTGTACGCCGGCGCCAGATCGATAAATCGATTGACCGAGTTCTCATCCGAGGCCCAGGCTTCAATCAATTCTCGGCCTGTTTTGTTTCCGGCGTGGGCAACTATTTTGGTGGCTGCGAAGTCAAACTCGTGACCCATTTCGTAGGTGTGGGCGGCCACTTGTGATAATGCGTCGCCTCGCCGCACAGCCAGCTTATGTTCATGTTTGCGCGATCCGAGCATGCGTCCAGTCTTTCCTGTGTAATTACAAGGACAATTTTGACACGGAATGCGATACACTACTCCAGATTGCTCTTCAGGTTTTAACCGGTCTTTGATCTTCATGACCCTGTTGCGCATGGTGGCTTTGGGGCGGTGTGCGATTCCAACCCCTAGCTCCGCAGCAATGCGCTCGGTCGCTTCTGAAACACCCTTGATGTATGGCAGAGAATGCCATATCGTCAGTGGCGTTGATGTTTGAGTTCTCTGGTGGCGACCGCGTAGGCAGCGACTTATGAATGCCCTCGGCTAGCCATTTTGCACAAACTGGTCGCGGAGATAACGGGCCTCACGCGCTCTATCTTCTAGTTTGCTGCAATGAGTTTGGATCCGTTTGAAGAGCGTCTTCACACAGCTTCGTTTGTGAGCCACCGGATGGTTGCTGTGAAAACTGAGAAGCTGTGTGGTGAGAGAGGCTGGAATGGCTATTTTTGGCTTACTAGCCGTAGTCTGTCAGTCATATTCTGCCTATATCATGCGCCGCTGTGCGGCTGCTGACGGGACTCGTGAGAGGGCCCCAAGACACAACCGGAGAAGTGAGTTCCGTAACGCGATCTGTGAACGTCCCTCAACCAGAACTAAAACTGCCGGCTCGGTTCGATTAACACGGGTCGGTAAGGGAAATTTCACGTCAGTCTTAAACAAAATCTTGCCAGGCACACTGATGAAAAAGGCAATTCCTTTAAACACGACTACCCTGTAAACTGAAATAGTAACTCCCGACTTGTTTGAAATGCGCACATTGACTAGTTTCCAGCTAACAGGAGTCCAGGAGTGGATCACATACCGATATTTCGACCTCCCCTGCCGCATGTTCGTCTCACGCGCAAGTGATCGGTGCTGTGCCCACTTGCGGTGGAAGTCCTCACTCACGAGGGTTGAACTGCTTCTCTTGCTGCTCCATTTGTAATAGAAGATATACGCATTTTTGAACCGTCAGACCGACGGCGTCGCAGCCGAGAAACCCCAGATGACATGCAGATTTGGGAGAATAAGAACGCTTCTGGTCGAGGAACTGACAGCTGTTCTGCTTTTGCGAAAACCCAGCGAGGTTTAGTTCTGCAGCCCCATCTGAGTGATACTACATGGTTAGCTTTCTAAGAAAATTTTACTAGATGCGAATACGCTGACTTTATAAATGTCAACTACAGTGTGTGACCGACCTCATCAAATGCTAGCCAAAATTCGGGAATGCCTTTCCGATTAGGAAGGATTACTTAAGTGGGGTTGTTATACTGATTATTATGCAGCATAACCCTACAATATCTCAGACTCGCCAGGATGTCGGCTTTTGAATGCACGTCTTTTTGACCTCCTACAGAAAACACACTCGGTAAAAAATTACCACTTAAGTAGCATGCATTTTTCCTATTGCTTTTCGGTGGTCTTAAGAATACAAATATATTTTATAGAAAACATGCACAAAATATGCTTTCTATTTGCTCATTTGTCTTTATATTCTTTGCCCGAAGAAGATGTATATTTCGGTCTTAAAAAAAGTTTCTAATTATGACATTCTTAAGAGCGTGAGATGTCTATGCATGCAAGATCACACATGTCCGTTTACTAATGCGAATCATTTAATTTGCAAGGCAGTCCTGGATAGATGGCCAAATTTATGAACTCTATGTGATATATTCTTAAAGACAAAGGGGAATATA